CCATTAGTTAAGGGAATAGCTGAATAGAATGTCACTAAACATTTCGCAGATATGTTTATAATGAATATTGTGACTGATATATTAACCCAAAACCCCTTTTTTGCTAATTGCAAACTGCATGTGAACAACAGATAGGAAAAAAAGGGGCAGGAGGGCATACCAACTAGTGTTTGGAATTTATACTAGCAAAAAAATAGTTACTTATATATCACATCTTGTTGTAATCAAGCTCCCACAAATATAGAAAAAATATCACATGAAGGTTCAAGACAATAAAATCTTTTCAGCTAACAGAAGTAAACATTTAATGTAAATACTTCGGCCAGAAGGATTATGAATTAGACTTAATCTGTACTACCTGAAATGCACAAATATTCACAGAGACGTGCTGTATACAGAGCAGCCTCCGAAGAGTACAAAAGTGCAAATACCACCAGTAAACAATCAAAGCACTGAAGGCTCAGAGTTGCAGTTTAAAGACAACAGATCATATCATCTACTCTGCAGAAGAATGGTCTTGTGAGAAAAGCAATAAGAGCTGAGGAGAGAGGTGGACGGGATGTTTAAATTCCAGATAAGAGTGCAGTGGCGTCTAAAGAGGAGAGAGAGAGAGATTAACATTCAGCAGGTAGAGGTGATTGGAGGTCTTACTTCAAGCCAGGAGATTTCAGTTTTTGATGAAAAAATGTGGAGGTCAAGTATAGAATATGAGAGTGCGAGTATAACAAGATGTAACATCAGTCATTCTAGGCCTTATATGTGTAACTGGTACCTTACCACAGCAGGACTGTTCTCTATTTTTGTCTGAGTGTGATTTAAACTGCTGATTTTGGGACAGTGCTTTTTGTGGTAACAATAAAACAACATTAAAAAAAACAACTTGTCTCCTTAATTTGGGGGGGAAATTAACATAAACAGATGTGAATGGTGTATCAGGAGCTGTTTGTTCTGAAAGTATTTTTTTTACCACCGCTTTAAAAGCCCATAAACACCGATGGTTCCCCCACACTGGTGTTTTCACTTGATTAGGCCAATTCTCAGGACTGTGTGGGCATGTACAAATTGCTCATTCTCTCTCCTGTTAGTTTCTTGTTTTCTTTCCTGTTATGGCAGCTAGCTCCAACTTGAACCCAGAGCTGTAATTTGCCAGAATAATTGAAAACACCTGTGCAGGTGTGCAGGGCCTTTAATGATCAATTTCAAAATACCACAACACAAAAACTGTTTTCTGGGTAAATTCACATATACCTATTAGGTTTATGTAGGCAAACTGTGGTTGTAACTGGGAACAAAACACTGCCCCATGGTTGGCAAATACATCCATAACACATCCTTATCAGGTTTCTACAGTTATTTAGTTTACAGCTGGTATTAGCAGCTCGTGCAGTAAACATTAAAGCTCAGTAATGGATATTTCTTACCAAATTTATCCTCAGGATTTGTAGTCTTTTTAGCCATGATAGTAGTCTGACTGCCAGTCAGTCAGTCCACCACAGAAATATCCGGACTGAAATATCTCAAAAACTATTGAATGGATTGTTATGAATGCCTATGAGTGCCTACTGCCACCATCAGCTCAAATCCTTCATTTATTTAGTGAAGAAATCTCAACACAAACCTTTTAGACGTTCTTGGTTCTCAGATAACATATTCGACTTTGGTGATCCACTTTAAATTCAGCATCATCAGCTGGTTGACTGGTTCTGAGTGAGATATCTACCAGATGGATTACCATAAAATACATTTTCATCTAGCATCATTGCCAGGTGAAACTTTTTATTTGACCAATGCTTTGGTTTATGTCCAAATGCCTACAAAGCTAATAATCTTCTACACACAATGATTTTCAATCCTCAAATTTCTATATTGTGTTTATAGTTTTTCATCAAGCAAGAGAGCGACGATGCAAAGTAATGGTGTCACGTTAAAGATTTATTGTCCATCTATGGCTAGAACATCAACAATCATCAGCTATAATTTTGTGTGGGCTGCAAACTCCCGATTATGTTTTTCACTGCATCTGTGCAGAATCTAAGTCCGCACTGCAGTGCATCTTAGAATCGAGAGATTTCCACACTTATAATGATCGGCCTCACAGAGCTGCTAGCACAAGTATAGACTTGACTTTTTATCAAAGAACAAGATATTGTCGAATGCAGCTGCTAATCTTCTGCACTTGATTCATGTCCATACCAGCCTTGGAATCGATCCAACTACCAGTCACCTAACATTGTACTAAATTAACTTTCACATCCAGGATCCTGGCTGCCCAAAATAACTCATAAACAGCTGACCCTTCTGGCTTGAAACAGCCCACTCAGACAGTGCAGAAACCAATCTGCATCACCAACATTGTCTTAGTGAGCTGCACTTCTGTATTTCCAAGACAAACTTCTCTTACTTTGATTTGAATAGCACTGAACTCCAGCAGCACTGTTTACCTCAAAAAAATATTTTCCCACTCTTCACTCCTCCGCTTGCTACCATACAAAGCTGAGAAAAGTGACTCACTCTTTTACATAAAACCCTGGATGAAGCTGTCATTATGGGGCAATTATTTTAGAGAAAAGTTACTGTAGGAGAGGCATTGATTCTTTCAGCAGCAACTCCCACCTCCTGCTGTCGCACAGCTGGGCGGCTGTTCTTTCTTTCTTGAACAGGTCTTTGATTACAGATCTCCACTGTATTGGGAAAAAGAGCTGTAATATTGAGGAAATTATCTTGAATAAGGTGAAATTGAGATGCATACAGTGGATAATCACCAGTCACTCAGGCAATCATGTCCAAAGGGTAAAGGTGCTGATTGGTGGCCTGCTGCACATGCTCAGAGACAGCTGTGCTTGTGTTTTGCACTGTGTGGGCACCCACCAAATACAAATGTTAACATACAATCATACAAATGACATGTTTGTATGTATTATCAAGTGTCACCGCTCACTGTTTCTCTTTTTAGATGCACACAAAAACTGTTGATTATTACACACAAATACTTACTGTGGAAATATAGTAAGATACATTCAAAGACAATAAATGAATGGTTAGCTTTGGTCTTAAACTGTACATAAAAGTTTGGATTACCACCCGGTCAAAGCAGGTAACTCCCTCAAAGCCTCAGACCCCCAGGAAGTGGTAGCACCACTAAATTACAACACTGAAGGGAACTGTATTGTAACCTAATCTAATCTTGACGAACCATCTTGCAGAGGGGAACTTTGTTAAAGATCCCCTCCAGACATGTGTCAATACATACAAATGGTGCGTCTGATTTGGTGTGTGTGTGAGGTTTTTTTTTTTCATTCTCAGTGTACGTGCACTGGCAGACTTGATGTCACAAATCATGCTCGCAGGCCCTGCTCCTTAAAATCTGATTTTCACTGAGCAACAGAGAAACTTTCCACTTTCAGCAGATGAATGGGAAAACATCCTTCCAGTGTCAAACTCTTCACATAAATGATTCTGCACAGTGAAGCTCAGACATCCAACTGTAGGACCAAGAGGGGGAAGAGATTTTTTTTTTTCAGGGGGACTTTAAAATCTAGTTTTAATAGCCTTAGTGTTTCAGTTCACATTGTGCTTGCATGATGTATTTTCCTAAATGAAATTGTGTTTTTATCAAGTCCTCTACTGACCAAAAATAATACATTTTCAATACACAAAAGACGGGAGAAACAGGTAGTCAGCAGGGACCCACAGCTTGTTAACGTTTCACTATTGCCATTACTTGTATACCTGCACATCTATCTTTTTATTCATACTGTATTTTTTCTAAGCATATTCATGTCACACTGTTAATAATGTCAAAATACTGTTCATACTGCACATATATTAGTGATTATTATATATGCACATTTCTCTGCATGTTTCAGCTTTTTGCACTTAGATGCTAAACTCCTTATTTTCAGTTGTCAACTCAAACACTTCTTCTTCAATTGTATTTCTATCTATAAACAGTATTTAATTCCTCTCCATTCCCTGTTTCATACCTTCTTCCTGTCTCTCTTCCATCTTTTCACTTATCTACAGTACTTCACCTTTCTCCTGCCTCTTCTCCCCAGCTTCTCCACATTATAATCATCTTGTTTCCTCTCGTCTTGATGTGATAATTAATATCAGAAGAAATGGGGAAAAGCAAGGCTCTGCAGGGTTTTATATAGCCAATCAACAGACAGCCTCCTGGAAAAATATCCGTAATTTGTTTTTCCTCTAATTTTTCTTCTCTCTGAACTGAGAGCTCATCGGAAAGACACAAACATATCATTCATGTTGAAATTATTCACAGTGTGTTTCATACAAATGATGCAACTCATCATGCTTACAAACTGTTTAAAAACGGCAAAGACGGTTGTCGATAAATTAGTATAATCAAATCTAACCAATAGAGTCAAACTGAAATAGTAAATGCAGCAGAAATACAGAGGTGAAAAGATGTGTGTGTGTGTGTGTGTGTGTGTGCGCGTGTGTGTGTGTCATTGATCCTTATCCATATAAGATAGTGCCAGCAGTAACTGCAAGCAGCTTTAAGGAACAGGAGGTAATATTCTGTGTTGTTTAACAGGAAATGAGAATGAGGAAGAGAAAATTAATAAAGATGGAGGGTGATATGAGAAAATAAGCATAGGAAGAAGGTCAGAACTCAAAGGTGTTTTTACTCATCTATAGTTTCCTCTATTATACTCACCAGATCCAAAGGGTTCACAATAAAATTGACATCACAGATTCTGTTTATTCAAAATATTCATCCATTGAATTTTTTTTTTTTTAACAAAATAAAACATTTCTGTATATGTGTGCCATTTTAAGTTTTTATGTTGCTATGAACTATAATTTTATTTTATGTTGTTGAAACATGCTCTAAACTAGTACTAGTACTAAGCTAGTACTACTAACAATAATAAAAATAATACTAGACATTATAAAAAAAATAAAAAAAATACAAGACCTAGATTCTTTGTATTCCTATTATTCAACAGGCATAGTTCAGACGCCTTGTCGTCCTCTGAAGGACCCTTCAAAATTCCAACATGGCGGCGTCCGTCCGGGTGTGCTGTGCCCTCCGCATCACCATCGGAGGTGAGTTATTTATCTGTTTATTATTTATCTGTTTGTTATTTATCTGTTTGTTATTTACCTCTCTTGTCCTCCACGGCGTCGGTAAAACAGTCAGTGTATGTGTGGGACTACGTTGAGCAGTGACACTGTGTTTGTGGTCAGTGCTGTTCACCGACCTGGAGTCAGTCAGTCAGTGCTGTTCACCGACCTGGAGTCAGTCAGTGCTGTCATCAACGAGCACGTTTAGGAAACAGTCATTGATGGTGTGCAGTTGTCAGTAACATTTATGTGCTTCACTCACTGTTACACATTTGCAACACAATAGGTTAAACTCGCAGCCGTCGCGTCTGTTTTACAGGTCGCGTGTGTTAGTGCTCTCTAGTCGTTTAACTGTTGGTATAATTTAAGCACATAATGCTATAAACGATGGAAATGTTGGTGATGAATAGTTGGGTCTTGTTTGTGGTAAATAGAAGTTATCCCCAAGTAGCCTTGAAATGATATGGTTGTATTTCCCTTCCACACCAAACTTCATTCAAAATAGTTTCAATTGAATGTCGCCTTGCTTATTAGTAAATGTAGACGGCCCTGATAAAATAACTTCAGACTAGTTATGCAATGGTTGAATACATTCTTTAATTCGGCTTACTTACACCATGCTTATGTGATCAGGACACCCCTTTATTTCAGTAACAAGGCTTTCAGGCTTTACTTTGCTCACTGGTTTCTGCTTGTGTAGTTTGATGATGGGTAGACAAACGTGTAACAGTACAAGTATCAGTAAATTGTCCTTCCTAATGTGAACTGTTTTCTGTGCGTGTGTGTTCATAGCTGTGTCTTTGTATGTTAAACGTTGTTGTTATGTTACTACATAATGCAGTTTTAATCCAATTCTCTTCCCTTTGGTGGATGTCTTTCTCTTTCAGGTGCAGCACCGCTCCGCACCATAGGGGGCGCAGTTCAGGCTTCCCCGTTGGTGAGAAGAGCCTCAGCTGCCTCTTTCCAAAGAAACCCTGCACTTCCACTGTACCCTGCAACAGCATGGCAGCAGACCAGGCATGGCAGCTTCTTCAACAAGTGTAAGCACATAAAGGATTATTTTCTCGTTAGAACAATTCCCTCATAATTTATCAGCTACAGCCCAAAGTGTATTTTATTTTGATTTAGACTTATAAAAGCACCTGTAAGCTTTGTTCACATAGTAAGTGGTCATTTATTGCTTCAAGTTGTTGTGGCTACAAAATGGTCTTGTTGTTGCTACTTGGATTGCTTCATGTTAATCCAACGAGACAGCACCTTGCAACAAAAATGTCTACATTTTGGGAAATGCATCGTTTACCAGGAGTCCTTAGCGTCGTGCTTTCGCTACCTTAAAATGAGCCGTTTTTATCTACAGATGCTGCAGGTCGCCTTCCATGTTGGCCGCCATGTTTAACCGGCTTGTACAGTAGCCCAGAACGGACATACCAAACACCGGCTGTAGATGGGGCAGTTTGTGTTTTTTGCGTGTTTTGTGGCCACTGTAGTTTTTCCCTCACACTTTGAAAGAGAGGGTGAAACGAGAGACACACTGTACCTTTAAATCAATTAGATCAAGGTGGATCCAGCTGCTAAACATGTCAACTTTTATTAGTTGAGTTCCAGTGCCCATGTGCATGAAAATTATCATGTATCATTTCCCATAACCCTGTTAAAGATGTTCTTTTTCCATGCCCCTTCTCCTTTTTTTAAATTTTCACTCCTGCTTTTTCTGACCATAATAAATTATGTAGCCAAAAGTCTTTCTGACGCCTCCGTCCTCGTACGTATTTGTTCTTTTGGTTTTTGGTCTGGTGTTGAGATAAGATGTTCAGAAACCACACATGGTTGTAATGTCAAGGTGTCCACATTCTTTTGGCCCTGTAGTGTATGTAGGTTCATGTTAGCAGAGCTTGTTTGGACAGCATTTCAGTTTGATGGCAGTCTTTTAAAGGTCCGTATAAGGAGCTGTCATACATCCTCTCTTTCTCTCAAACACCCAGCAACTCAGTATCTGGGTTCATATTTCTCCAAGAAGTCTTACATATAATATTTATTCTGGTTGTGTACTGTTATCGTCCAGTTTTTTCACTGTGTGAAGCTTTTTCCGATGGGTCCTAATCTGCGGATATACTGCAGGTCCCTAACTGGCTCTACTGTATATCCACTTTAGGTGCCAGGTTTTTGCAAACATTAGGAGTTTATTGTATTTTAATTAGTGTCCCTAGGCAATCCCATTATGTCACCTGTTGGACATCTTTATTCCTGGCCGTTAGAGCCCCCAGAGTCCATACATCCCCAGAACTGTTGGCATTTAGCGGGTCGCCTAAATGCAGCTGCATTACTCCTGATAAATGACATTCATAGTCTTCTTGAATTGTAGAGTGGAGCTAAACTCACAGCTGTGAAGGTGCAGTAGGTGAGAACATGGATTCAGGTGAAAAAATGAGGACACACTGTCAAGTTGTAAATCTGCACTGTTGGCAGCATTTTGGCTTTTCAGTCAGGGAAGAAAGGAAGTGGTCTTAAGAGAACTAGTTAAGAATCATTTCAATGGTCATTTACAGTGTAGAAGCTGCTGCCAGTCTTGTGGCATTGGTCTCAAGTAATTTATGCCAATTATTTTCCCTGTCAATTCATCTATTGATTATTTTAGTCAATTTTTTATGTGAAAAACGACTTTGACAGTATCATAGAGAACAAGGTGACATCTTTACAGGTCCCGTTTTATCCAACCAAAAATCCAAAACGCAACTAAAAAAAAAAGATGTACTGTAACGTGAGGCCAGAAAAGCTGCAAATTCACACATTTGAGAATCTGGAACTAGATGTTGGCATTCTTTATTACTTATAATGATTTAAACAAAATCAAAGTTGGTTTTAACTAACTGATTGATTGTTGAAGCTCTACAGTAATTAGAATAACATCACTGTAATTTATTGATGTTGAATTTCTAAAAACTGCACATTTAACTATAAAAGATAAAATCAGGTTACAGTTAAACAATTCTGCTTGACTCCGTCAATCATTCTTCCCTGTATCTTAGTTTATTGGATTGCCATTGTGCGGTCAGCAAAGTTTGGGTGGTGGCCAGATGTCTCACATTCATTCCTTTTTTTTTCATTCCGTCTTTTTTCCTTATACAAATGTGACATATCTCTAAAACTGTTATGTTTGTTTCTTCGTGTGTGTGTGTGTGTGTGTGTGTGTGTGTTTACAGTGACGGCTAACGAGTTGTGGAAAGGTGTGCTGGCAGAATCGGGTGCTGGAGGCAGGAAGGGCAGAGGGAAGCGATCCAAACCCAAACAGAAGACGGACTTGAACAGAGGACGGAACATTGGAGAAGGTGAGACATTACGTGTCTGTCTGTCTCTGACATTTTGTGTCTGTCAGCCGTCTCTTTCCTCTGCAGATGTTTGTCTTGACTCAGAAAATCTCTTCTATCGAACTTTTTCATACCTTTTACATATTCAGATGTGATTGTCATTATCTTTCATGTAAACAAGTCCTTCTTCTCTGTTAAGTTGTGTGCTGCTGTGCTGATGGATGCAACACACTAGAATACTCAATTGTTAATGTTGATTTATTTATTACACCGTTCTACTATGGAGAGGAATTACCCTTCATTCACTTTGCCTGTCCTCCTTTTCCTGTTTTTCTTTTAAGAAGAACTATCAGTCTACATTTAGTCTTGGTGTCTATGTCACAGTCTTGTCAACCCGTCTCTTCTCTCCTTTGCTTCCACTTTAACTAAATGTATTGAATTTATCACTCTTTTGATTCCCTACTTCTCTGTCTGTGGTGGTGGAAAAGTCTTAAGTAATTGAACTTGAATTAAATGAATCATATGATGCACTTTTAGCTTCCAGTTCATCTATATCCATTCGCAGTCTAGGCTTTTAAGACTAGTACAGTAAACTTGAACTTGTGAGACTCGATTTAGGCAAAAAGTAATTTCCGGAAAGCAGTTTTAAACTCTTAAAATGAAACCTGTAGACACCCTAAACTCAAATACATTTGTGATAGAGTATCTACCTATTTGTTTATGTACTATCTCTGTCAATTTCTTGCTGTGTTGTTTAAATCAGAATCGGCCCTTTAAGTCTTCCTCTCTTATGTTCTCTATGTCCCTGATTGTTTCTTTCTTATTCATATTCACCCTTGTTCTGTGTCTTTAACCCACAGGTCGTGGCGGTTTTCTGTGGCCTGGTCTGAATATTCCTGTGGTAAAGGATGGGAATCTGCTGCCCCTGGGACGTAGAGGGGAGGCTGAGCAGCAGTTGCTGCAGGCTGAAACAGGTACAGAGGCAGAATGCATTAATATGTACAGACACACAGTTCCTGGAGCTGCAGACATACAAAATGAACATAAATGATAAATCGCATACCAGTGCGCTTACTGCTACCATAACACTACAAACCTGTATGCACACACATTCACTCTCATTCATTTGACTTTACCCCAATTGTGATTAAATTATTTCACTGCTGTCATGAGTGAAGAGGAAATGTCTTCTTCTTTCCTGCCTTTGCTAGTGCATTGCAGCATATCTTGATCAGTGGAATAGTGTGAAACCATTGGCAGGAATTTACAAAACGGGTCCCACTCGTATAAAAACAGCTCCATAGCACTATGAGAGGTCAACTCCGCAGGGGGCCTTTAATTTTCAGAAACCCACCACCACCACCGGTGTAAGATAGAAGCTGCCAGTTTATCTCCACGGTAATCTCATTTGTTAACAGGAATCACAAAGTTAATTTGACAGTGACAAATGGCACCTTTAATGTTTATCATGTTGTGCTCTTTGAAGTCAGTTCTCGGGGCTTCAGTGACGAATTAGTTGGTTGTGTCTGCAGTGCGCCAGAGGGATGAGTGGGAGAAGAAGAAGAGGACGAGGGTGAAGAGACAAAGAGGATGGACGGGAAACTCGTGGGGGGGCATCAGCCTGGGCCCCCCTGACCCTGGACCAAATGGAGGTAAACACAACACAAATATGGTGTGTTTGTAACACTGGATTTTTAGATCCCCATCAAGATATTCCATCCTTCCAGCTGTAGATGACTGTAGTAATGTAAAAAAAAAAGAGATGGATGAAGGTAGTAGAGGAGTGATTTGGGGTATAGGCTGTGTGTGAGACAGACCAGTATGGTGGTCCATTAGGACTGATGAAGATGAGAATGTGACGAGTGTCAAGTGGGATGGTTTCCTAATTTAGAAAGGCATTTCTCTCTGTTTCTCCCCTTTTCCTGCTGTATGGGTTTCTATGTGTCTTTTTTTTTTTTCTTTTCTCTGGCAGACTTTCTCCCCCAGAACTCTCTTTTTCCGTCTCACTTTTTATTCTCTCTGTCTCATTCTACTGTCTCCCCTTTTTCTTTTTTCCCCCCTTCCTCAACTCTGCCCTGTTTTATGTGTCTCTCGCTTTCTGTCTCTTCTGTTGTTCTTTTTTGCCTTCTATCCATTTCCTTTCAGTTTTACACTCGGCCTTTCTCTCACCATCTCACAATGAATTTTGTGCTATTTTTTTCTATCCTCCATTCTCCTCTCCACAGCCTCCCCTATTTATCTCTTTCCTCCCACACACTCTTGTCTTTTTTTCCTTCTCCGTTCTTGGACTTAAATGACCATGCTGTTCCTCTGAAATATGGCTCTAAGGATGATGAAGGTGGTCAGTCGGTTGGTCAGTCCACCACTTCGGTCCAGACTGAAACATCTTCAGTTATTGGATGGATTTCTATGAAATTTCAAATTGTCCAATACTAATGTAATGACATCCCATCAGCCTGATCTGTACTTGC